CCCTCAGAGTTCCCTTAAACTAAACCTGGACTTATTTTTTCTTAGCTTTTAGACAAGTCTAGTTTATAGTATTTTATATATATATATGTATATTTTGGCTATTAAAACAAACAAAACCCCCCCCAAAATGTTTTGTGAAGGTTGGTGATTTGACATTGAGGAACAGATTTCTGTCTTTTCCTAGTTAGAGAGAAGCATGCCTAATTTTTATGGTTTCCAGAGTTTTTCCATACCAGGGTATTTCAAAAAGTTTGTGAAAAAATAGAATTAAAAGATAATATGAACCTTTCCATGACTTTTTGAATAGCCCCCATACAGTGTTATTTGTTGCTTACACATTTCAACTATAGGAAATTGTACACATATGAATATATATACTTAGAAGGTAAAGATTCAAGAAATATAGTCTTGAATTGATCCTTGCTTCCACTGGGAAGGGGGAAAAGGAAGTAGCAATTGAGCTGAGTTCTAATGGCCTAATTATTCTCTTAGTGTAATGGGGAGAAGAAACAAAATCCTGCTGTTTCCTGATGAGGGCTATAGGGTGCAGTAGGGGAGCTGAGCCATAAATGGCAATGACTCCTGAGAGATAGGAGGAGGAAGAGTTGCATGCCTAGACAGCTGTGTAACTGATCTCCTAATTAATGAAAAGTGCTGAGTACCTATTACTCAAATATAATAGAGATGCATGCTGAAATATATTCCTAACAAAGTATTTGCAAATATCAGAAAATTAAGCAAANGAGATGCATGCTGAAATATATTCCTAACAAAGTATTTGCAAATATCAGAAAATTAAGCAAAATGTGAATTCATTAAGGGCAGTGTTTTCATTTCAGTTAGGTTTTAAGAAAACACAAGTAAAGTATGTTGATGTGTGTACTTTTCTAACGTGAAAAAAATTTTTTTCTCCATTTTAGCTCAACAGTAAAGATCATGGTTTACGGAAGACTACTAATTCATCTCTGGAAGAAATAATGGATAAGGCATATGACAAGTTTGATGTCGAAATAAAGAGTGTGCAGCTACTCTTTGCAAGAGCAGGTAAACCATTGCTCACCTTTTAGGATATTGAGAGTATGTTGAGTAGCTTTGGTAATATTTGTGTGTATATATGTGTGCGTATATATAAACCCTGACAACTATTTTGCACACATATCCTGTTGCTCACTTAAGAAAACTAAAATAATAGCCTATCAGTGCCAATCATTGCCACAATTACAAATAGAAGTAAAAATTTGAGTATTCATTCATCTTAGGGTACCTAGCATCATTCATGACATATATTTTTCATTCACTCTAAGTCCATTCATGGCTTATATTTTGTAATGTGCCTATAAAACTGCTCACAACACAAAGTGGAAGTTGCAGTTGACTAGTGCTTTTGGGATGTCTCATTGTTTTTCTTTGCTGCTTTTACTGTTAAATATTTTACTATGTTAGCCTAGTCTTTATTTCAGCAACATTACATCTACTTTTGTAAATATGTGAGAAATATATGTATATAAAGTACTAGATATAGTCTTAAAATCTTGAAGGTAACTATTTTAATTATTTTTCAAAAGCTTTGGTGTTTTCTACTGCTTAAGTAAAGATTTTTGATTCTTTAGTTTCTAGAAGCAATAAATATTTATTAAATATTCTTAAGTCTATCACTTTGTGGTAGGTTATTAAGGGAAAGGACAGGCATAATCTCTGTGAACAGTTTATCTCTAGTGGGAGAGAGGAGATTTATTAATATGCAAATATGTATTACCCAGTTTTTATATATTAAGAGCCTATTAATTCATTAACGGGAAATATATTGATTCTTAATATATTTTACATATTAAGAGGCTATTAATTCCTTACACAGACCATTAAAACTGCCTTTTCTTTTGTATGTACTCAAGAATAATTATTTGAATTATGAGTGATAAAGGATGGTCAGTCATTGCCATCAGTAAAGGTCTGCATAGGACTCTGTTAGCCATTGGAAAATTTGTCTTTGGGACTTTATTTGAAGAAAAGTGATTTTTTTTT